ACGTCCAGCAGATGCACACTCACTTAGACCGTGGTGACCAGGTCTGGAACCAAGGCAGGTTTCTCCTGGCGTGGAGTGGACGACAGTTGAGGAGAGGGTTTTAGGGAGAAGCTGTGGCTCTCACCAGGGTCCAGATGAGGTGGTAGAGTTTGAGAGCCGTGAGGATTGGCGCAGAGGATCAGGAAAACGATGACAAGTGATGGGATGTCAGTCTAGGTCCTCATCAGGCCTTCCAGCTCCAGTGCATCCTTGTTTCGCCTGGCTGAATCCCTGATCATTAGCTCTATTATTTATATTAAATTTTGAGGCTTTTGACCTCTCTTTCAATCCTTATCAGCTACCCCCAGATTTCTCCATGACATCATTTACCCCAGGGTCAGAAACATCTGGTCTGGTGGTCTCCACTCTGATCTTCTCGCTTTCCCCCTTATTAGGTGAGGACAGTCTGCCAGAAGCTTCACTCCATTTATCAGGGTGAGGGGAAGTGACTTGTCTGAGGGCCACATTGGAGGGCTCTGTGGGTGTGCCTACTGAGACTGTGGTTTCAAACTGGAGTTTTTAAAATAGAGTTGCTTAGGCTCAGGCCTAAGGCCATCCTCACATGTATTAAACTCATATTAAGAAAAATCCAGGCCCATGAGCTTATTGAACACACAAGACCACCAAATGAGGCAATGATCCATAAAAGGAGAAGTATCCTGAGACTGGACACTCTGACCCTGTCACCTGGCCACTCATCATGAAACTTGCCCAGGAAATTCTCCGTAGTGATGAGTCTCTGTCCTTGGGCTTTAGCAGAAGATGGTTTCTTCTGAACTTGGCGAACATGCATGATCCTCTCCAAATTGACTTCTCAAGCTGACACTGTGAAAGCAGGGTTTTTCAAACCTTTTTCAAACCTTATTCCTTGCTGGAATAAATTCCTGTGCTTTGACAGCTCTGTGCCCTGACCAAGTTCTTAGGCCGGTTCTTCATCCTATATGACCACCTCCTGTGACTCTCTGTAGTCCTCTCTACGCCAATGCTCTCACTTCAGCCTCTGGAACCTCAACCCTTTCTCAGCCTTTCTGTAACCTATAGAGGTGATTGTGTAAAATGTAATGTGTGATTGGGGCTGGGGTTGTGGCTCAGTGGTAAGATTAGGGGCTCAGGCTATAGTTTAGTGGTACAGTGTTTGTGTAGCATGTGTGAGGCACTGGGTTCAATTCAGAGAGATAGAGAGAGAATGAATTGTGTCCATCTACAACTAAAAGTATATTTTAAAAAAATTATGATTGGAGCCAGTTCAGGAGGCTGAGGCAGGAGGATCACGAATTCAAAGCCAGCCTCAGCAACGATGAGGCACTAAACAACTCAGTGAGACCTTGTCTCTAAATAAAATACAAGGGCTGGGGATGTGGCTCAAGCAGTAGCGCGTTTGCCTGGCATGTGTGCAGCCCGGGTTCAATCTTCAGCACCACATACAAACAAAGATGTTGTGTCCGCCAAAAACTAAAAAAGAAAATAAATAAATATTAAAAATTCTCTGTCTCTCTCTCACCTCTCTCTTTAAAAAATAAATAAATAAACAAACAAACAAATAAATAAATAAAATACAAAATAGGGCTGGGGATGTGGCTCAGTGCCCCTGAGTTCAACCCCTGGTATCCTCCCTCCCAAAAGAATTTGTGATGCCTGGCTCTTGACCACTAGGCGATCCACAAGTATTTACTGAACTGCCACTGATTAGAGTGGTATAGCTTGTGAATTTAATGTAATTCAATAAATTCTGACATTGTGGAAAGACACAAATGTTTTTGGCCTATGTTAATATAATAATTCTCTATGACAGAGACCCAAGTGTTAGAGCTCCCCTAAATTCAATACCCAGTGTCCCCCCCACACACTCACAAAAGAAATCTCTGGATTTCTCTTCTCTTGTTTAAGGGAAGGATATGGCAAATCAGAAGCCTCAGAGTGAAACAGAAACCTTTTATATGCTAGCTAAGTGTGGTGGCACATGTCTGTAATCCCAATAGCTTGGGAGGCTGAGGCAGGAGGATCAAGAGTTCAAAACCAGTCTCAGCAACTTAGTGAAGCCCCAAGCAACTCACTGAGACCTTGTCTCTAAATAAAATATTAAAAAAGGCTTGGAATGTGACTCAGTGGTTAAGCGCCCCTGGATTCAATCCCCTGCCCCCCCCCAAAAAAAACTCTTTTATTCTTTTATATGTGGTCCTTTACTCCAGGCTTCAATATCCTTCCCCAGATCTCCATGTAAGCATTCAGGAGCTCAGCTCACCTTGCCCAGGTCTCTCTCATTCCCCTCAGTGAGAACCAGCGTGTGACAGAATCAAAAGCCCTGCAGGTGGGAGCAGGACATTGTGGCACATGTCTGTAATCCCAGCCACTCAGGAAGCTGAGACAGGAGAACCTTGTCTCAAAATAAAGAATAAAAAGGGATGGGGATGTAGTGGTAGAGCAATCCCTAGTACCAGAGCAGGGTGGGAGAAGTTCTACAGTAGGAGAAGGTAGAGAAGAGGAGAGGGGCCCACAGGGTGGTGCACACCTGTAATACCAACAATTTGGGGGCTTGAGGCAGGAACATTGTAAATTCCAGCCAGCCTCAGCATTTTACCAAGGCCCTGAGCAAATGAGCAAGATCCTGTCTCAAAGTAAAAAATAAAAAGGGCTGGGGATATGTGGCTTAGTGGTTAAAGCATCCCTGTATTCAATCCCCAGCACACACACACAAAACAAAAACAAAAACAAAACCCCCAACAAAAACCTGAGTTGTTTTTCCATTTCGCAATCTTATTGTTCAGTGTACAGATTCTTGACCATGAGCATGCTCATGTTCCTTTCATAATCATAGAAAATACTACATTTTAATAGTTTAATTAGTACCTAAAAACTCAACCTGTTTATCTCTTTTTTTGGGAGCTCTTGAACTTTCCAACTAACTTTGGGGAAAAGGCTTCCCTGTTAGAAAATTTGCAACCATGGCAAATATTTCTCTGGCACACAGATAGGTTTTGTAAACAGCTACAGATATTTCAGAATCCTGTTTATCCAAGGACCATATACCTTTGAGTTGCTTCCCCTACTAACTGTCTGGCCTAGCCTTGTGTTTATCCTTCATTAGCAGAAGGGCAGATGGTAGGCAGCGTGCACCCTCCCTGCCACCCATCTTTATCCTTCCTGCCACTAAAGAAAAACATTCAGGGCTGGGGTGGTAGCTCACTGGTAGAGCACTTGCCTACCATGTGTGAGGCAGAAGGTTCGATTCTCAGTACTAATAGAAATAAATAAAACTTTAAAAAAAGGGGGGAGGGGGAGAAAAACATTCACTTAGTTTGGACATGAATCAAACCTACAACTTTCCTTCCTTCCTTCCTTCCTTCCTTCCTTGTCCAGGCCACATCAGGACCTCATGCATGCTGGACAAGTGCTCTTACCACTGAGCAGTATGCCCAGCTCCCAGAGCCTAAAATCTCACATTTTTTTTTTTTAAAGAGAGAGTGAGAGGGGGAGAGAGAATTTTTTTT